ATTGCAATTAGCAATATATATAGCTATATAAAATTGAATCAAAAAAGTTCACATTGAGCATTTCCGAAATTATGAAAAAATGCATGTAGATCGTATGACAAACTACAAATTAAGCGAAAAAGTGAATAAATTTGGAAGATGATCGTCAGAAATTTATCATCCAAAAGCATACTATCGCTAATTAATGAGCCGATCATTTTAATTTTCGGTTCTTCCTTGTAACTACTAAGGTATTTTTTTTATTTTTTTTGTTTTTGTTTATTTATTACATGTAATTTCCGTTCCCTACTAACTTTATTTCTTCTTTTAGTTTTATGGGTTTTGTTTTTACTTGGTCCCCTTGTTTGGTCCCCCTGTTTATCTCATTTCGTCCCTTCTCCACTTTTTTGTTTTCTTTTGTCTCTTCATCTCTTTTGCTCTTTTTATTCTTCCCTTCCTTCATTTTTTCCATTGTTTTTTATTTCCTCTTCGTTCCTTCGTTTTTTTCATTCCTTTACACTACCCTTCGTTCCTTTCATTTTTATTCCATTCCCACTTCATCCTTTTCGTTCCTTTACACTATCCTTTGTCATTTTCATTTTTTTTCCATTCCCACTTCTCTTTACGCTACCCTTTGTTCCTTTCATTTTTTTATTTCCTTTGCTCCATTTCGTCCCCCTCCATTCTTTTCATTTTTTCATTCCCACTTGATCTTTTTCGTTCCTTTTGTTTCTTTCACTCCCCCTTTTCTCCATTTCGGTTCTCCCTCACTCCCCCTTCGTTTCTTTTATTCCCTTTTACTCTCCTTATTTTTTCATTCACTCTCATTTTTTTTGATTAATTTTTTATTAATTATAAACTTTATAATTATTTATTATTTCTTATTTTATATTACGTCAATCTTAAACTTATAACCAACTTAAAAAAAATATTTGAATAATTAAATGTATTAGAATCTATTCATTTCATTTATTATTATTCTTTTGGTACTTAATTTAACTAAACCAGAATTAAAATCTTTATTCAAAAATCTGGTAGTTATTTAGAGAATTACGAATATGGATTTGGTTATAATAATCTATTATTAAATCAACAATTTCTTCAAAAAAAAAAATGATATTTTTACATATTTTATAATTAATTAATTGATTTTATGAATTTTGAAAATCAAACTATTTATCCAGCGTTCAATTTAATTGAATCATCTTTCCATCAACGTCGGTCGATTTTCCTATATCTGATATGTTATATTGATTTTTTTTAAAAAAATAATAATTTTGTAAATATATTTAATAAAATATTTTATTTTTTATTTAATAATAAAAAAGAATTTAAAAAAAATTTGAGGGGAAGAAAAAGGATAAAGAAGAAATCAGTTTAAAAAAAAGGGAAATTTCTGAAAAAAAGGAATCCGAAAAAAGAAGATTCTGAAAAAAAGGACAATAATCCGATCCAAAAGAGTGAAAAAAAAAATTTTTTTAAAAAAAAATAACAATAAGTCTAAAAAAAAGATCGAAAAAAAATAGTCTTAAAAGACCAAAACAATGGGGATTATTTAATAAAAAAATATATAATTTTTTCAGTTTGGGAAAAAAATTAAACCTAAACGGGAAAAGAATGAGAAAAAACAAATTTTTCAGGTTTGAAAAAAACTAAACTGAAAGAAAAGGGAGAAAAAATTTTTTTCGGTTTGAAAAAAAAGGACCCAAAAAAAGTTAAAAAAAAAAAAAATCAAATTAATCAAAAAAAAATTCCGATTAAGGTAAAATTTTATTAACTGAAATTGGATTAGTTGATTAATCGGATAGTTTTTGACCATAAATAGATCAGGCAGAGGCATGTCACGCCGTCACGGGTTTTAATTATGGGATTTCAAGTTATACAATTCAAATTATTTATACAGAGACTAATCCAAACGTCAGACAATAATTATATACAGTAGATGTTAGTCTATTATTGAGTTTGATACAAAAAAATGATATTATTAGTAATAAGATTCAGCAATTGCTGTGGCGCCGCAACATTGATCTGATCTTCGATCCAAACCTAAATAGTGAAAGAATGTATTCGGGGAAAAAAAAATCGGTTTGAAAGAAAAAAACCAAACCGAAAAGGAAAGGGGAAAAAAAAAATTTAGATCGAAAAAAAAACCAAAAAAAAGTATTTAAAAAATTCTCATTAACCTTAGATGTACAACATGACTTGCCGATCAAGCGAGTCTAGAACATGGATCAGCAATTCAAACACTTTTTTTTAATTATACAGATGCGTTTCTATTTTTAAAATTAGTGGATTTACTTCTTATAATAATATCTTTTTTGAAAAAAAAATGGTCTTCCATATCAATATTTCTCTTTCTGCAAATATTCCAATCACAGCTTAAATAATTTAATACTTCCGGAATCAAATTAATTCCACTTTATATTAATATATTAAAATTTTTTAATATTCCCAACTCAAACAGCATCAATAACATATCCAATAAAAAGAGGTTCGCTAACTGCATATCCGCCTTCTTTAAATTATTTTTATTAATATATTTGCATAACATGTATTTACTACCGTTCAAATTAATAAAAGTGTTTCTTTTTCTTATTTAATGTTTAGAGTTATTAGTTTATTACTATTAATACTGAGTTATTTTATAATCAACTAATCGAACGATAAGCTCAATAAGACCACTAACTTCTAACTCGGTGATGAACAATCAGTCACAGATAAAACAGACAAACTTATTTTAAATTGGTCGTAATTTTTTTATTTCCATGATAATTAGAGGAGTAGATTCCTTCGTATAATGATCATACGACGTATAGGCTAAAAATCAACCTGTTACGAAAAAATGTTTACATAACACAAGAAACGAGAATGCCACTTGTTATTACTTATCTTCTGTCAGAGCATGATTGGAACCATGTATTTACACAGTTACCGCACTTTATTTTTTTTTCCGGTCTGTGTTGCACACAAATACTTAACTTTTTTAATGAGTATTAATCATCTGACTGAATAAAATCGAATCAAAAAATTCTAATAATGTTCAGCCCTATATCAGTGTTGTCACTTCATAAATGTCCACTGGATCGTTTGTTCCAGTTTAAGTCCAGTTATCAAAGTTAATTAACTGGACCGTCCAGTCAAAGCAAATACAGTAATCAAAAACGCCATAATAAATAATATAATTTATTATGGTACTGTAAATAGGATACATCTTAAATATTTTTATTTTTTTCAGTTATCTCTGTTAATATGGATTATTTTCAGAAAAACTGTGTGCAAATGGCGATCAATAAGGAGGATTTCAGAATATCCTTTACGGAAGAATCTCATCGACTTGAAGTAAGACTTAATACTCTCGACAATACAATGATAGTTAGAAGGTATTAAATGGTATCAAGCATGTAAAATTTTTTATTTACTGTACCCTGTAAAAAAAGTCAATCCGTTTTTTATATTCCATCTTTTTTTCATAAAAGGCTCATATTTCCGGAATTAATAACCTTATATTGCGGAATTTATCGAATTATTTACATTTTCCGTAAATGGATCCGTGAAAGGCTCATTTTTACGGAGTTTTTACAGAAATAACGGATTAAATTTTTTTAGGGGTACTTTTACAAATATTATGGCTTCAGATGGAGCTCTCCTGTTACAATACAAAAGTTCTTAGAAATAAGAAAAGATTGTCAATGGAAAAAATTTCTCATTCAAAATTCTTGTAAAATAGGGGTCTGTTGATTCTGGAGTAGGAATCGACTATGTTTCTTACAATAGTCAAAGAATTTTGTAATGTCTAACGAAGACGCTCAGTAGTTTAGTATTGTCGATAGTGCTAGTAAAACTAAAGGATCTCACAGGTTTAGCTTGCAGTAGCCGTTTTTAGCATTTCGCGAAACGTTTCTTCCGTATTTTGCTCTTTGCTTTGATCTGACATTACCTCTTTTTTTTTGAAAAGGATCATCGAACTAATTTTATGGAAGTCTACGAATTCTGGATGATATAACGTTAAAAGAAGGGTTACAGTACGTTTTGCCGAAAGCCACTTTGCCAAAACCCATTTCGCCGAAGCCATTTTGCCGAAGAGATGTTTTGCCGAAAAGATGTTTTGCCGAAGAGACGTTTCGCCGAAAGGATGTTTCACCAAAGCCGTTTCGCCGAATCATCCATTTCGCCGAAAGGACGTTTCACAATTTGCCAATTTCTTATTAATAAAGTGTTAACCAGAAGGCTCATAATTTATATTTATATACATTTTAACGTATATTAATGGATTTTTTTAAAAAAAAGTAATATAAAAAAAATAAAAATTATCCTATTTTAAGGCTAACAGTTTATTTTGTAAAAAAAAATTTTTAATTTTTCCAATTATCAACTTTTTTTAAGAATTATTTGTGAAATTGTAAGATTTACAAATGTTACAATTAATACTTGAATAAAATAGATCCAATGTCAGAGTTTTCTCAGTAAAAATTTCAGCCAATTCGGCTAAAAATTGACCGATTTACCTATGTAAGAAACGCAGATTTCCAAAGGTTTCGGCAAAACGTTCTTTCGGCGAAATGGCTTCGGTGAAATGGGTTTCGGCAAAATGTCCTTTCGGCGAAATAGCCATTCGACAAAATGGCTTCGGCAAAATGGGTTTCGGCGAAACGTCCCTTCGGCGAAACGTCCCTTCGGCGAAACGTCCCTTCGGCGAAATGGCCCTTCGGCGAAATGTCTCTTCGGCGAAACATCCCTTCGGCGAAATATACCTTCGGCGAAATATACCTTCGGCGAAATGGGTTTCGGCAAAATGGCTTTCGGCAAAATGTCCTGATACCTAAAAGAAGCTCGTGTAACAACAAATACCATCCAATACTCTTCGTATCACGATTCTCAACAGAAATCTCAAGATGATAATGATGAAGACTACCCTAACGTAGTATAAAAAAGACATTTTCTTCAGGATTATTACGAAGCGCAGCAAAAAGGAGACCATCCGTTTTTAAAAAAATTGAATAGTGATATTATAAATGTTGTAAATTTACATTTCTAAAACACATTTCTAAACACACAATATTTTAATAAAGAATTCACAAGAACGTGTTTCCGCTTTATTATCAAAATTTGAGAAATTACTTACTAATGCAGCAATTATTATGCAATAAAGTAAATGCAATTAGTAAATGCTACAGTATATACAAATAAAAATGAAATGTTTTTTTAATTTTCTCAAAATCACATACATTATTAAATTAATAAGCTTTGAATCTTTATTGATTTTCAAATTTAAAAGTAACGGAAACGCTGGAGAAGAAAATGAGATGGGAGTACGTGGATTACAAAAAAAAAAAAAAAATTATTTATTGGTAAATCGGTTTGGTAAATACCAAACCGAAATTAAATCGGACTAACCGGAGGTCTACTTCGGTGTTGTTAAAAGGGTTGAATTTAACTTCATCGCCTTCGTGGATATCTTTATTTCTAAATGCGAATTGCAATCTCGTATTCTCTGTCCAACGTATTGGTAAAAATATTATTACTACATAAACTTTTTTAGTTCGCGAAGAAATGCAGGAAACTTACAGTCAAATCTTGATCGCTTTTTATTGTATTATCAGAAAGCCGAGTAAAACATTCAGTATCTCCCTACTTTAAATAAATAATCAGCGTTTTAAACTGATAAAAAACATTATTTTACTGACGTCATAATAATCTCAAAAGAAACTAAATAATCCGCGAAGCACTAAATTGCTTGAATCTGTACGCACTAATATTATTAAAAGTTACGTCAGTGGAGTCAAAGTCTGGCTACCAAATTTACATTATAAAATCATAGAAATTTTTAAAAGTAAGGTTTACATATCAAATATCTATTCAATAAATATAAAAATACATATAGTGTTCTTATATAAAAATATACATATATATAAATATTTCTAAATTGTTCTCTAAAATATGAGTATATTAGTTATTAGAATCTATAGGTTCATTATGAATAATTTGAAATACTTCACATTCTTCTACAATAAATTTATTTTTAGTTTGCCTGATTGGTTTTAAATAAGAACTTCTTATACAATAATTTCCAAAAGATGAACTCCATATAACAAGATCATTTTCTCCAAATGATGGACCGTGGTAAAAATTATTTTTTATAGCATTATTCTCATTCATTATACGACTTAAAATATAATTATTAATTCTATCACAATTAAAAGAAAATATAAAACTATCTTTAGTAATGCCATAACTACCATTAGACTTCCATTCAAGTGGATTATATCCTCCAAGAATTTCGTTACTGCCTTTCGCTTTAACAATTGTTACTGTGCGAAGTTTATTATCACAAATTTCATGAAATTTATCTCGGTCAAGTCCATCACGGGATCCAGTAAATAATAATTTAAATTCATATGAAGGAATTAATTGGTCCGCAATTTCCAATCTATCGATCCATTTTGAAATAAATTCAACATGTTGTTGAGTTATAATTCTTGAACCAACAATTTTTTCGCTTTCTCTAGTGTTACACGGTCTTGGTCTATCACTTCTGCCTCTACCTACGTGGTTTTTGGATCGATCTACCTAAAATTTCCTGATGAGAGCTATGTGCCGGTATTGACGATTTACTTCTCTATGGTTAATACTGTAAATTTGATATACTTTAAAAGCAACAAATTTGCTGTAATATGTACATTTGTTTCAACTAAGAATACTAATTATTAATAAGCCATAGACCTAACTTGGTAATTACCAAAAAAATTTATATGCATGGCGCTAGAATACAGTATCTATTGGTAGAAAATTTTTATTTTAAAATTACAAAATTATGGTTCCCTAAAGTATAAAAGAGAGATTAAAATATAAATTTAAAAATTATTAGTATTAAAGTAATGATGATTCACATTGATAATCAAGTAGTGTTATTAAGTTTTTGACTCTTTGTATTGTTACGTGTATTATTGCTTATGCTCATAAATGATGATCTAGAAAAACAGCGTAATATTCATTTAATTTATCAGTGCAAATCAACTTTTTTTCGGATAAAAGACTGAGCGATGATTCCTTTCATTAATAAACGCAAATATGTAATTATTAATTATAAAATTTTTAAATTCTTTTTTGATAACTTAAAACTCTACTGTTAAAATTTATTATGAGTGACCAACCATAATTAGGTTAAAATAACTTTAACCCATTTAAAAATTCATTGATGATATTTTGTGAAAGATAGTTCATTATTTCGTTTCCTTTCATATTCCTTTTCTCATCCTTTTTATACAATTTTTTCTTGTTGTCCTATAAAAAAAAGAAAAGACAAAATAAAGTTGGATCGGCTTATATTTGGTTAATAATTTGCAGACCATTAACGTCTATTTTTTGAATCGGAATAAAGTCCGTTAAAAAGATGTCCTATCTCTCGGAACGTGTGTCCAATCAAATTAAGCGCAAAAGAAAAGTTTCTCAAGCCAATCTTACTGTGTACATGTGAATTGATGGAGTTTTTTAAATTTTAAAAATATTCGGAAATTCCCTCGGCAGAGATTTCTATACTGTAAATGTCGATTGCTGCAGTCGTAAGGTTCGTACTCACGTGAATGTCAATCTTTTTTCTCATATATGCTGTTCGTTAGCTGACGTCATCGCCTAATAATGCTGGCCAACCCACTTAAGGCATTTATAATATTGGGCTGACTGGCGGCATCATCTGACGCAAATCGGCACTGACGCACATTAAAGGATAATGATTGTAGATAGTGAAACATAATAATAGTAATCATTAAAGGATAGTGAAACAACTGAAACATAATAATAATAGTAATTATGATGTAACATTAAAGGATAGTGAAACATTATAAGTTAACAACCCTAAAATAAGTTAGTTTCGCCATTTGGCGTTTCGGTATTTCGACCAGTTTTGGCCAGTTTCGGCAGTTTCGGCATTTTTGATTACCCTTAATTAGTTATATAAGGTAAGAGTTCTTACGTTCAGACATTAATTAATCTTTATATTGAAATTTATTTTCACAATGTAAATTTTAACCCAGTAAACATTGTATTTTATAACCAAAATTCATAATATTTTTATGTTAATAATAAACCAAACAATGATAAAGTTCTTATTTGTTTAATTTTAATTTAACGTCACTTGTCGTGGAAAAGGTGGTCAGCTTTTCTCGCACGGCACTGGAAAATTTATGTTTCATTTTTAAGAGAGGGAACATATTTACCTACAACTATGTATTTGTGTCATTAAGCAATACAATTACAAATAAGAATCAATCAAGGACTGAAGTGAATTATTATCAATTAGAATTTTTAACAACTGGGTCCTTTGTACAATTTGATATGGTCCCTAAAGTAATAATAAGTAATATGGACGATTTTGGAACAACAAAATTTTGCTTTTGAAATCGCGCGTTTGTAAATCAGTTTTAGAAGACTCTTTACGAAATTAAAAAAAAATACCAAAAAAATGTAAGTATACATAATATTGAAATATTAGGAAGCATTTAAACATTAAATAACTTATTTTTATGATTACAAATAGGATAATTACTCTACTAGGGCTTTTTATTATAATTACCCTTGATAATCCTGTAATTTAGTCAACAAAGCCAGCTGTCAATACAATTAAATATGCCATTCCAGTGACAAATATTTCGTTGATTACAACAAACATTCTCTGAGATTCCAAACTATGTTGGAAGCGATAATCACCTGTGCATATTCCAATTTTCAGAAGTACATTTAACCAGCCAATCTTCTTATTATGTGGTAATTGAAAATAATTTCGTCATTTCTTAAGCGAGAAATGAACCTTTATTAGGAACTAATGAGAAAACTTGGATGTTTTCAACAAGTAATATACATGTTTTTTTTTAAAATTTTAATTTTTTAATTTTTTACTAATCAAAGTAGAAAATTTTATATTTCTTTACTATATTTAGATCTGTTTAAAACAGGACAACATTCAGATTCAATTAGGGTTGGATCGGACCAGTGATGAAAGCTTTTCACAGCGCGTGGTCTTGGGATCCGAGATCTGAACCGGGGACTGATCCATATGATTAATATCCAATAAAAATGAGCCAAATTTTTTGTGCTCATCTTATTCTTTTTGTTAATTTTTTCCTTTTATTTTCGAAATTTTTTTCTTTTTATTTCGAAATTTTTTATTTTTTAAATTTCCGAATTTTAATTGTACTGTTATATAGTATTAAAGTTTGAAATCAAACTCCTGAGATCCGTAATCATACTTTAAAATGTGTCTTTATACCATAATGGTAACTTTTAATTACAATCTCGATTCAAATTTCTAATTATTAATACGTTAGTCGATAGAAAATTTTATTTTTCTTACTTAAACACGCAAACTTTTCAATCTCAACATATGTGTGTAAACTAATGTGTGTAAACTAAAATGAGGAAAAGCAAAGACTATCCAAAAGAAGAATATAAAGATGAAGATGACGACGATGAAACTATGGATGACAGAACTGAGGACGATGATGAGTACAGAACCAAGGACGAGAATTGAGGACGAACTTGTGACTGAAAACGAACTCGTATCTGAATATGAATTTGAACTCGTATTTAAGATGAAGACGAACTTGTGGTTGAAGAACCGGTAGTTGATGAACCAATTCTTTAAAGCAATAGAATGATTTGTTTGAGAAAATATTTTTTTAGAAATTTTAGAAATAACAATAATATTTTTTTAGAGAAAAAGTTTGAGGGTATATATACTTTTCTGAATACATTGTGACTCTAATAGACTTAAACTTTGTAACGTAATACAGAAAATAATAAGTGAAGTCAAGTCCATGGTACGAAGATGGAACTAGGCTCGGAGTTGAGGAAAAAGAACGCGAAGAATGAATTATGAAAGAATTTGGAATTCAAACTCTTAATGTTCACAATTACAATTACAATAATTATGGATAACAACGACCAAGCAATATATTTAGTATTTTTTTATTAGACTGGAGTGCTAATATAATACGAACAAACTTAGTGAGTTTCTTGAAAAATTTCCTCTCCCAGCGAGCGCAGCAACAACCCACAGTTATGTGAGCAGAGTTAGAAGATAACAAAATTGGAATCTTTGGTAACCACACAGATATGATCAATAACGAAGAATAAAGATACAATTAGGAATTTAGAATATGAGGTAACCACCAAGGAACGAATAATAAAGGAGCACGAAGAAAAAATTACAAATTTAGAAAATCGTATTCAGGAACGCGATCTATTAAATCACGATCAAGAAATAAAGGTGGTACTCCTAAGTCACTCGTATGGAATCACTTTAACGACTGATAATGCATCCTTGATGACCTCTTGCGGCGAGTTTATAATGGAGGAACTTGAAGTATTTCAGAATCTAGATTTCGCCCAATACCGGTGCCATGCATGTTTTGAATCTTGCAGTCAATAAAGGATTAAATTTAATTTCTGAATCCGTTAAGAAAGCAAGATCTCTAATGTCTTACATTAAAACTTCTCAAACCGGTACGTGACTCGTTAAAAACGTTATGAGAGGTAAAGGGTCCATCTTTTACATGTTGGAAAAGTGGAAAAGAATGGAGCCTGCTTTAAATTTACTTGCCGCCAATAATCCAAATGTTCGTCAAAGATATCTTACCGATTTCGATCGTATTAACATTGATGTAAGTTATCCTTTCGCATATAACAATTTTAAGTCATTCGGTCGGATTTAAGCAATAATAATCATTTCATGATGCTTTGGAGTGTTCCGATTGACAAATTTTTAAAAGTGTTTTCGATTTTATTATGGTCTGCTTTTAAATTCTGTAAGTAAATTGCGGAAACTTACTATATTCCCAATTTATTAGGATACTATAGTTCTTTTAAGTCCAATCGAACGTTCCTTTCAGCATCTAATTCATTAATTGATGAAAGTGCATCCTTTACAATAACCCGTAAGTGTTGTTTATTAAATATTTTTGACATTTGTAAATAATTAATATTTCATTAAATTTTTAATTCTATTATTTTACAGATTATTTTGGAAAATTTTTGCCACTAATTATAATATTTTTAGTAAGTCTAATAATATTAATAATATTATATTTTTTGGCACATTGGAAAAACCCTGAAGGAAGAAACTTCGCCATATTTGAAACTGCATTAATAATGCAGGATTTTGTTGTGGATTTAAAATTCACATTATTATGAGTTAATAATGCTCCACACTTAATAATTCCAAAGTAAGAAATTTTGTTTAATGTTATGTTATTTTTGTTATTTTAAGATTTAATTTAATTAATTAATAATTTTCTTATTTATTATTATTTAGTATGGTATTCCTTGTTGTACCGCATGTAGTCAATTACTTATTGGCTATAAATATTTTTTTGTCTGAAGTAGCTACGAATCCAATGTTCTTTACTTTGGATTTCAGAGCTTCCAACACTACTATTATCAATTTGTACAAATTCTTTAATATTTATTCTCGTTTAAAAAAAAGAGAGTAAATTGAAACATTAGTAAAACGTTTCGATTAGGATGTAGATTTTCAGTTTCTGGATACGCAGGAATTGAGTAAGGGTTTATTTATTATTTTTTTTTATTCCAATGAATTATTACTAAATAATCGTTATTTTTTCTTTTTCTTTTTTTTAGGTGGTAAAGAATTTGTTATGCAAAAATATTATCTGTTATAAATAACGAGAATATTTATAAACTCAAATTTATACCTCGGCCTTTAAGAACCGATGAAGAGTTTGTAAGCAAAGAAGATTTAGCAACGGCGCGTCTCTATTTTAAACGGCCTGGACGCATCAGGTCCTCGGCAAGTTTTTTTTATACAGGAATCAGAAAATTTTTATTTAACGAAGCTTTTACTAATAAAGTTTCGTTTTCTTCCCTTTTTTTAGACGGCTGTTTTTGGGTCTTTGGTAATTATATAAATTCATAATTATTTTGAGAAAGTCAACATTGTCTTAAATTAAAGGTAAGGGAGCTAGCTCCGTTTATACAAGCAAGTTTCGAAATCCTCTTTTTTAAAAAAAAAATTTCCTGAATTTTTTTTTTATATTATTTGTAGGTTTTGACTTCCGATTATTGGATCTTGTACGAGTTTTTGAATAATCTTGAAAACAACATTAAAAAATTTCTTTTTAACTTCTTCTTTCAGGTAAATTTTGAAAAAAAAAAAATTTCGAAATTTTAAGAAAAACAATTTTAACATTATTCTTCTTTGTAGAAACATAATATTTTTTGATATATATGATAAAGATGTGTTTGGTGATATTAAGATAAATTCATGCGAATTTTTCTTAGCGCTACAAGGAAATTCACATGTGAGTAATTGCTACCATAAGGTAATAAGCTTTGGAAAAAATTTTTTGAACCTTTAAAAAAATTTCTAATGTTTTTCTTTTTTTTATAGAAATTTCGGCTTCAACTTAGAACGATAGGATAGGATAACATCGGAAAAGACAAAGTAAGTTTCATTATGAAACTTTAATCCCTTTTTATTATTAAAAGAAACCTTTTGTTTATGTTCTTCTATTCTCTTTTTTGTAGGATTCGTGGAAAACTGTATTCCGTATGTATCAATGAAACGATTTTTTAATTTTTTTTTTTTTATAAGTCTTACTAACCATTTGTCTCTTTCTTTTAGACTTAGTAGGTCTTTGGAGTTGGATGCGTAGAACTTTGGATTTCTTTAGACGTATTGGTTTTCAAATCTTGGTAAGTATTTTTTTCTTTAATTTGTTTATAGTAACGAACAGCTGCTCACACTTCGTTATTTTTTTCTTAGACAGCGGCTTCTATATTCTTTACGCAGGATATTGGAGAGTTCTTTTTTTGTTTTCCTCTAATAGTATTGGTAATTAAATCAAAAAGATGAAGAATGAAATGAACGCATGCAAAGTAACTGCACGAAGAGAAGAGGATTAAATAGATCTTCTAATAAACAAAACCGATAGTAAGATTGGAAGCATATTGATTTTGTTGATTTAATATCCATAATTCTTTATCTGTTGAGACAACAGTTCGGAGAACGTTAGATTAATCAGGTGATCGTTGATCATGATATAACTTATAATATATTTTACAACAATTTGTTACAATTTATATTAAATATACAAGTTAATAAATTAATATTACAATTATGCTATATTATACGAAGCGCCCCTACAAGACCGATAACGAATATCTTATGATGGTTTCTATACAATGTATTGTAATATTATTAATATTATTGTAATATTAATTTCACGATGTATTTAGAAAATTTTAGGTTGTTAGCAAAGTAGAACTATAGATGAAGTTTTTTCTAACATGTTTATCCGCCAGTTAAATTTAATAGGCAATAAAACTACTATTTTTTACACATTCTTTTTCTTTTGCAAGTTGCTACTCACATGAAATTTTGGCCATTAAAAATATGCATTTTAAGATTTCAAATAATAAATAATTCTGAATAAACCATATAAATACTATAATGTATCTTATCGAATCAAAAAGTAAACAAACAATAATAAAGCCATCCGCAACGAGTTTACATATAAATGTGACATTAAACGGTGACAAAAAATGTCACGTGGATTTTCGTGATGTTTTTTTGTGTAATGTCATTAATGTATAACAAGTGTAATTGATTCGATCCTCTTCCGAAGATATCCAGCATCTAACTGGTGGAAAAGCTAGCTGTAAAAACCCCCGAGGTTAGAACAGCGAATATTTTTATTTTTATTTTTATGTTTCAGGAAGTACAAAGTCGTAGTACAAATTATCAAAACAACAAATATAAGAAAAAATGTCGCGAAAATAATTCTAACACTACGAAACCAAATCGCAAGTGGCGAACCAAACAGTCGATAACTCCAGACCTTGAAAAGAAGAGAAACGGAGCGGATCCACGATCAACCCCAGAACTCCCCCGCCTCGGACGGAAATAAAAAATTAGAGAAAACATAAAAATACTATCTAGTAGTATCTAAATTATATTTTGAAATGCTATAAAAAAAATGTTCAAATATATCTATTATATCGAACCAAATTCGATCTCTATGTGATTCTCAAGAACCCGAATGTAAAAAATTACTCGACGTCCATCGAATATGGGCGTCGTTATCAGAGAAACCACCACTGCGATTATAAGGGGTGGAAAAATTGGGATTATATTGATTACGAGAATAATTTCTTTGTCGATTGACGTCCTCGTTCGTATTCGAACGATCATTATTTGAATTGTAGTTTTTCCTATAAAATTTCTTTTTATTTTTAGTAATGTCCAAATATGTGCGTCGATATTAGCCATTATAATATTCATAAATTTAATGAATATTTCGAATCGTTTTTTCTTTTTTGGTATATAATTGTAAAAAATATCAGTAAGGTCTTTTGGGACCAAGTGATGAATAAGTAAATAAAAAGGATGATCTTTAAATAAGAATAATTCGAAACTAATATCAAAAAGTTTCGATTCTTTAATGGTATTTCTTAATGCGTAATTCTGTTCAGCCGTTTCCTCTAACATAAGAGTAAGTAATATATCGGAAGCGTCCGAAATGAGTTGTGTGATAATTGTTGTGTGGGCGGTACATAAACCTATGTGTTCGTTGTTGTCTTTGGCAGAATTACATTCTACACAAGGGATGATGCCTCGAGGATATAAACGAGGATAATTTCTTTGTTGTATGTCTATTGTAGGATGCGCGAAATTAAGTTTTTTAATTTTGTTGCCTTGTATTTTTGACAATTTAGCACTACAGGGCGTGTCTAATGGGTTTGTGTTAATCCATTCACGAGTGAAAGACCAATCTACAATGTCCTCCATTAACGATTGTTCGATCAGTTAACTAATATTATTAATCATCGAGTTAAAGATGATAGGTTGAATGGCCGTATCCGACCATTTCTATCAATTATATATATGTTGTTCCAAGAGATAAATCCTAAACTTTTTCGTTGAAAAAATTTGTGGTTAACAATAATTGGATCTTTAATTTGTGAACCGCCATTTGCGAGTTCATCAGCTTTGTTATTCCAATAATCATCACTGTGTCCTTCAACCTTGTGTAATGTTACCATTAGATGTTTGATGTCGATTAGGTAAGAGATCAAGTTCCATATTAAAAAATTATTTTGTTTTAATTTTCGACGCGGGCGATAATAATAACGCGTTGAATGTTGTAATACAATTGGCGGAATCCGTGTAAATATTTAAATTACTGTTGAATCATGGAGCGACAATTATAGCTGTAAGTATACCCATCGATTCACTTTTTGTAGACGATGGGAAGAAAATCGTGGATCCGTGAAAAGATTCATTCGGTGTATTAGCTTGACACTGTATCCATTCGTATCCACTGGAGCATCTTGAAGTACCTATGTGTTTAACGGAACCATCGGTATAAAATGTTAGCAATGTTTCTTTTTCTAATTGTGAAGCGAGAAGTTTTAATTCTTTTTTGATATTATTATGACAAAGTAACGCTGAATCTATATGGGCGTGAATTTGTGATAGCAGAGCAGTCTGAATAGAATTATTAGAGGGTGTGGGATCAATAGAGTTTGGAGTAATAATTTGTAAAGGATTTTTTTCTAACTTTAAAAAGTGTTCATAAGCTATATGTCTAAGTGAATGTAATGGTTTAGTAGCTATATAATAGGGAATACTAGCATTATAAAAATTAGCTAAAGATTTGTGAACGAAAGATGTTTTTTGATAAATTTTAAACGTTGGGTACGGATAGCGATAACGCATGTTGGACGAACGTCCAAAGGGTAATATGAGTTCATTGTGCATCCCTGACAAGCAGTTAAACACAGGAGTTGTCTTTTTGGTTAACTCGACATCATGGTGTGTTTGATTAGGAATATAATGTTGTAAATAAGTGATGGAAGAAGAATGAGAAGTGTCTTGAGAAAGAGTTCTTCCAAAAATGATTTGTTTTTGTTGGTTGTGCCAATGTATAGACCATTGTGATTTTGGTTTGGTAATAGACGGTCTAATTGTTGGTGTTTTGTGAGTTCGATTAATATCACTAATTACGTCCTTCCGTAAATTGTTGCTGAGGACGTAATGTTAGAACAGCGAATATTTTTTTGAAAATTTATTTTTCATGAATGTGAAGAAGTCACGTGATTTAAATGTAAAATTTGTAGAAAATTTTGTATAATTTAAAAATTTGTTATCGCCCAATTTAGATTATTTATTATTTATGAAAAAGTAAATGCAAAGATATTTTTATTCCATTTCATTTCATTTTTATTTTATTTTTAAAATTTAGACAGTCATACAAATCTGGGAGCTGAGCCCTTACAAAAGAAACTACTACACTACCTTGTAGGCTTGTACCAGTATAAACCCAACCCTTACGAGGATCGTCCTGCATATTATTTATATAAGAAACCGCTAGACATGACCAGCGTTGTAAGAAAAAATCAAGTAATACTATAAAATGAAGAAAAAAAAGAAAAAAAATCTTAAAAGTATTTAATATCATCAAAATAAAAATCTATATACGAATTGTAATTTAAAAAGGAACTCCATCCGCCAGAATGTAAGTAATTTTAACGGATTTGCATCTGAATCTGAGAAGTCATGAATATGTCCATCAGTGTTTGATCGAACGTTGTTTGAGTAGAAGTATGTCAAGATTGTTCTATGCGATAGCGTTGTTTGTAGCGGCGATTGACATTGTCGGTTACTTGGTTTTTCCCATTCATGTGAAGCTGTTGTTATCCAGATAAAGTTTTGGGTAATGTTTGAGTAGGATATCAGGTAAGATGTGGTTTAAACTCTTGATCTTGAAAGCGCTTTTGCGGGTACTGCAGATGTCATCAGTGTTGTTGTAGTGTAACCACGCTTTGGTGAGTGGCCAATCGTCTTTCTGGGTATTGTTAGCAGGGAGATAGCAATTAATTATGCGTAAAAAGTTGTTGTCTTTGAAACAAAAGGTTTAATGTGAGTAGAATTGATGAGTTTTGATTGAACATTTTTCAAATTTTTCGGAGAATATAATTGAGACGCTGGAACCTTTTGTGGTCCCGTTAGCGTCACTGTAAACGAACACTGGTAACTGGTTGTATGTCGTTGACTGAATTATAAGATGGTAGTTGATAAGTGTTGAAAATTGATTTGTCATCTTCGGGTGCTTGGGTTCTTTGTGGATTCCTGTCTCCGTTAAAGCCAAGATATCGTAGTTTTGTATTTTTGTAAAATTGGAGTATGTCTTGAATTTTGGGTAAATGCAAAGATATACTTGGCATCTGACGTTAAACTAAAGTTTGCTCCTAAGTCACATGATTTATTATGGTTTTCCAAAAATAATATATTCTGAATGAGGTAGGTAAGTAGGTTTTTGGAAAAAATACAAAGATATCGTATTTGTTGTGAATCAAAAAGTTGAAGGGGTGAAAAAAGTTAAGGAGTTTCTACATATTGAAAATGTAAATCAATATTTTATTTATACGAAAAAAAATAAATATACATAAAGTGTTACTTTAATTACAAACTATTAACTACAAGAAAAAATTACTAAATAATCCTCATCCTCAAACTTATGACAAAAAATACACATCTAAAAAAATTTTTTATAAGATTTGAAGCGTTATCATTTATATCATCTAAATAATAATCCAGAAAATACATCATCACATCTTCATAACCATTTAGGTCATCATAACTCAGAAAATTATTAAAGTTATTATACCCTATGAAAAATTTTTCAGAAAAATGATCACGTGTCTGAGTTTCTTCGAAATAAAAACTAGAAAAGAGAGTTTTTTCCAGAATTTTTTTTATAGGGTTTAAGACATCCATGCAGACATCCATGCAGTACATTTGACGCGTCTTCAGACAATAAAAGAAATAGTAGAATAAGTGGCAAATATTTTATTCATAAGAACATTAATTATAAGTTAAATAGAAATACCAATTAAACTAACCCCGTAAATAATTTCTGGAAAACTCCATGAATATGATACATTTATGGGAAAATAACTTAAGCAACTTGGATAATTTTCTGTACAAACAGTCTTATGACTTTATATTTATTTATATTTAAATTTCGAGAATAATAAAACTAATCGAACAATTCAAAAGAAAAGAAATACAATAAAAATAAAGAGTAGCTTCACGACTCATACAATTAAAGAAAACTAAGCTATTAAAATAAACAAAGTGATCAACAGAATCGCATACTACCCCAACTTTACCCGAATGCCAGTGTGAGCCAACTATCCAGCATGTCCCAGAATCCGACGTGTGAAATCCTAAAACGAAGAGGCTGAACTGTTAAGCGGCGCGGACAATCCAAGTGTGAAATCCAAGATCCACCCCGAATTATAGAAGAGGAAACCCAGGAGTCCGAGAAAACTGACGCCAGAGAGGAATGAGAATTTACAGAAGAAGGTGTTTGTGCAGAGGAGTGATTAGAGCGAGTAGGAGAATGTTTCATGGATTTAGTAATTCCTTGAGAACGTTCCCAGGCATTAAAGATCATGCATCGACAGATCCAAATTTCTACATAAAGTTTGAAATGGAAGTCGCGAAGAAGAGGAGCTAATGTATTGAAATTTCTTTCATAGCGAAGAAACTGGATAAAAATGTAGTGAGTTCCAATGGAATAAGACCTCAGCAGATGTGGTAGTTCTCCAACAATCCAGGGCAAGAAAGTCCAACTCAAAAGAGAGAGGTAAAGCAGAACCAAGTTTGTCAAAGGCAACAAGCAAACTCGTGCAAAGATGTCGGAACAATGTACGATGCATAGAAAGAGGCTTATATTCGGAAAGGAGATAAGGGCAGGTCCATAGATGAATGAGAGTTTCAGGATGTGTTTCACATATAGGGCAAAGCCATGATGGATCGTAAACAGAAGGTTTACGTCATTGTAAAATACTAAAATAGTAAGTACAGGTAATTCATCAATAAGGAGTTTGAGACGAAAGGCTAAAAATTCAGCGCAGCCATTTTTTCGTGAGGGAAGGTCTTTATGATGTGATAGGCAAGCCCAGGTACAAGACCAATCAATACCCGAGAACTTGGATAATTTTCAATGTTTTTGAGGCTATAAATTCCGGGAATATGATACATTTATGGAAATAACATGGAATAAAAGCCACGGAATAAATTTTTAGGACTAAAGTGAAAGATTATAATAGTAAAAACAAATCAAGACAAACTATTGCCAGATCTTCATAAACAACAAGTGACTACCAACCCGATACAAAAACAAAAAAAGCATTGGACTACTGAGGATAGGGGTAATAAATTGCATACTGTATCTCTAGGATTTATTATATATTTAATTACTCTGTATAAGTTAGAGTTGTGTACTGTATAAACGTATAGATCAGTTTAACCATTACCGTATAGGCGTATAGCGTTGCATACAGTACCCCTTGTAATAGTACCGATACTAATCATATTCCACTTGAAAATACCCGGTACTAATCAAAATTTATGTACTATATATACATATACTTTATTTAATTTATAGCCGATAAACTTTATTAAAAAAACTATTAACAAATACAATCAAAGCCACCCATTATTAATCCCACATGTTCATTATATACTAGTAATTACTGTAATACTATTCTTATCATAATACCTTATAATATTGTAGAACAGAATTTTATAATTAGAGATTTGCAAATTGTGAAGCGCATAATTAATGATCACGTGATGTAGATCATTTTATTATGAAACGAACAAAGACCCGAACAATAGTAAACATTACAGTTAAAAGATAGTGAAACATAATAATAGTAATCATTATAAAGGATAGTGAAACATAATAATAGTAATTATGATGTAACATTAAAGGATAGTGAAACATTATAAGTTAATAACCCTAAAATAAGTTAGTTTTGCCATTTGGCGTTTCGGCATTTTGATCCAGTTTCGGCAGTTTCGGCATTTTTGATTACCCTTAATTAGTTATATAAGGAGTAAGAAGTTGAAAGAGTTCTTTACGTTCAGACATTAATTTTCACAATGTAAGATTTTAACCCAATAAACATTGTATTTTATAACCCAAAATTCGTGTCATAATATTTTCACTTGTTGTGAAAAAGGTGGTCAGCTTTTCTCGCACAGCACTGGAAAATTTATGTTTCATTTTTAAAAGAGGGAACATATTTACCTACAACACTTTCTTGTCTACCAAACTACAATATATAGCATTTAAATCATGTTTTTACAACAATGTTGCAGGATATATATGTATTGTGTCATTAAGCAAAGCAATTTCAAATAGGAATCAATTAAGGACTGAAATGAATTATTATCATTAGAATTTTTAACAACTGGGTCCTTTGTACAATTTGGTATGGTCCCTAAAGTAATAATAAGTAATATAGACGATTTTGATTTGTCAAGTTTAGTTTATGGAAGATTTCTAAGCGTTTGATTTTTTATGAGCAAGCAAAGGATAGCAAAATAATAATAAAGGGGTAAGTATCATGAAAAGGTCGCGAAAAATAATGATGTGTTTATTCTAATTATTTGATTAACACAATTTCGATTTTAGTGAATAATGGAAATTATAAATCAGGGGGATCTTTTGGCCTAGAGTTTGTTCATTATAATATGTTCAGAAGAAATGGTACTTTATTAGGAATAAAGAAACAAACTGGTAATAAACTAGAAATTTTATTAAAACCTTTATTTACTAAGATTAAATAATCAAGGTAAATTTTTAATTTATTTTTACTTTTTATTTTTATTTTTATTTTTATTTTTATTTTTTTTTTTAATAAAAAATTTTTTGATTTATAGGAGCTGAATATAATAATCCTGTAATTGAGTCAACAAAGCCAGCTGTCTATGAAATTACAATTAGATATGCCATTCCAGTGAGATTATCTACTGCAAATATTTCGATATTCAACTAAATGATGATCCATACAAACCAAGTCTATTACGACAAACATTCTCAGGAGATTCCAAACTATGTTGAAGCGATAACCACACTGTATTTTCAGAAGTACATTTAATCAGCCTATTAATTGAAATTAATTTTGTCATTTCTCAAACGAGAAATGAACCTTTATTAAGAACTAATGAGAAAACTTGGGATGTTTTCAACAAGTAATATACATATTTTTTTTTAAATTTTAATTCGTGATCCGTCTGATAAGCAGTGATCGACATATAGTATATACGGGGACGATTTATATATATTTTAAACGTTTTTCAGAATCCTTCTAATCTGACTTATTAAATTACTTCTAAAGTAATACCAAAAGAATACTCAGTTTCACTTATTTCTGCAGGAGAACTTATAGACAACTTGCATATGGACCATATGCTAGAATGGTGATTAGCTTGCCAACTAATAATAATACGGCAAATATACCTTTTTATCCAATTCGTCTTGGTATGGAAACACTTACCACATTAAAAAAAACGTGATTTTACCATAACAGTAGTTCAAGGAAATACTGAAGATACTACAGATCCTAATTATAATGAGTTCAACCCGGATATACATGTCGTTCTGAAGGTTTATGTAGTAACGTATGTAATAGTTCATCAGGCGATTACTTCAGTATATCAAAAAGCCTTTTCTAATAAAACAAAACATGCAGGGCCTTTGGTTATGGGATTGTGACATTCCATATATATCTGAAACATTACTTTCAGATGTACATTTCGTCCCTTTGCTTTTAAGGTGGAGAATTTGAATATAATGGTTTTTAGTATTGGTGTATCAAAAAATCCTGATTGGAATTATGCGGGTGAAGGGTATAAAAGTTCTTTTATACATTCTCGATCATTATTTTTTCAAGAATTTGACGATGAAGCAATTGTTAGAATTTATATATAGGATTTAAGAAATACGTCTTTCGTGAATGCTAATCCTAATTTAGTTTGGAAAAAAATCGGAATATTAACAAAATTTAAAGGAAACACACACCCTCTTTGGACTTGAACATAATGAAATAAAATTAGTAATTGATCAAGAAAAATTCTTATTGTACGACCGATGACTGGAATAATGAAGAAATTATGAATAAAATTTTCAATTACCATTTGAAAAAACGTGTTTTAACGTCTATTAATTGGAAAAATCTTTATTGAATTGCAAAATCAAAAAGTAGTATTATTGAATTAACACAAAAACTAAAAGAAATATACCCAGTTGGGTTATATTATCAAAGATCGTGAATTTCGGCTTTATTAAGATAACACCTTTTAAAAAAGAAGATTCTGAGGTAACTAATTAAAAATTCAATTTTTTTTTAAAAAAAAAAATTACATAAATTTTAAATTGAAAAATTTTTTTAGCTTCAATTTTGGACGCGGTCAAAAGATCCAGATAAAAACAAAGATACACTAATTCAATTGTATAATTGTGTATTTCTTCAAGGAGTAATAATTACATGTCAATTAAATTTGAAGAATTTAATATTTTTGTTCATTATATAGCATAATAATTTACTATATGGTTCAATTTCATTGATCTCAGTGCGAAGCAATGGGCTGTTGCTTATGTATTAAAAAAAAAATAAAATTAATTACGTATCTAACTATATAATCCAATCCAAATTTTTATTGGAATACATATAAAATCGAAAAACGTTTATCGTTCGTTATGTTTTTATTAAAAAGTATGATAAGGCACATGATCTGTAGTGTTCGATATCCGCAGTAATTACAGATTTACAGTGTAGGAAATTTCGATAAGCAGATATTGCTAATTGAATAAATTGAATACACGATTGACTTGACTTACGTGATTTGAAATTTATCGTTAATGTTAGAAAAAACTTCATTTAAATTTCTTTTCTTCCTGGCCTGTTTATTCCCTAATGTGGGGTACCATCAACTAATTAAATCAAAACTTATGTAAAGTATCATATAAAAGTTTATTATTAGAAATTTTTTTAATTTACGCCGGTTATGAATTAAATACCGGTATTTTATATTAATTCGGATTTTTTTAATTTTCTCGGAAGATAATTTATGAATAGAATCCATTAAAATTTCAGAAACTTAAAAATTACAATACTAACGAATTAAAGAAATACATAAGAACTAAAAAACAACATGACACCTTGCTTTTTTGAAAATACTAAAGAAAAAAAAAATTTCTAGCTTATTGAGAAGTATACATGTCCGAAACCTCCATCAAATAAAATTAAAACTATCTACGAAAGTATATGATGATAGGTTTGGTGCACAAAATTTGCCATGTCCCAATTCCACCACTTCTCCTCTTGTATCTCTTAAATATTTTATTGTTCAGTCGTTTAATTTTTTCATCTTATTTAAAGTTACTCGTAAAAATACTTACGGGGTGCTTTGCCAATGCCACATTGCTAATATTAACAATTTGCCATTGATAAAAAATATTATTTCATTATGAATTCTTATTGTATTTAAATTTAATGAAAAGAATCCGATAGTCAATATATATAAAATAAAAAACTCTGGTTACGTGTTATATGCCACTACCTCGAATTACTTCGAATTATCTAGAGAGCTGTATCTTCATTTATATTTTTCTTGCCTTACTTACCGCTTCAAAAATTAACATACGCCATAACAAATAGCTCGGATTCCTCATCTAAAGTCTGTATATAAATTAAAGGATATAAAAAATAAACGATTTAGCTTTTTAATTACTCTTTGATATTTAATGCAAATAGTAATCAACATACCATCATCATTTCTTTCTTCAGCTGGCTTTTTCACGTAAATGATCAATAACAAAGAGACTAATTCATCTTCTTGTACGCCGAATATTCAACAATTTTTTTACTTGCAAATGGCTGTAACTTTTCACTAAGAATATTCTGTTGTGAAATAATTATTATTTATGTTAATAAAAACAAAAGTTTTTTTAAACAAAAGGAAGAAAATTATGAACCACATATGAAACTTACCTCATCTAATTCCTCCCGTTTAACATCTCAATTCCAAAATCCTTCTTTATCCGTTGGTATAGTTACCATTAATTCTTTAATTTTCTTTTCCTTTCTTCGGTTTTGTTTTAATCGTCCTCATTATCACTATATTCCAAAGGAACTAAAATTCGACGTTTACGTTTTGATTCAATACCTTCCTCATCGTCAAATTCCTCATCTTCAGCCTGGGGCTATTAATGCCGCGCGACGTTTTGATACAAGATTAAGAATTGGTTTTCTATTATTTTGTGAAGCACCGTTTATGGTAAGCGTTGAAATTTATTTTTCATTATTTAATTCTGCTTCCATAGCTTCTTCACACTGTTTCTTTCTTCCTCAAGCGTCTGTAACCGATGTTGCTCAAGCTCAATTTCCTGCTGTTCTCATAACCTATCTGCCTCATTCATACTAGCCAATTCACGTGCTCTGAACTGTTGTCGATGGAACCACCAACGAGATCCACATGAATAAAAAAAAAAAGTTATTCATAATTTCTCCTTTAAATTGATTACAAGATGAATGTGATGTATACCTGTCTTTGTAATATTCTTCTTGACCTCTTTCAGCGTCGTCCCATTCCGCTAACTTTCTCCCGATCTCGAATTTGTTTTCTCTAATATCTAAATCTCGTTATGCTTCACGTTCACGATTTGTTGCCACTGTTTCTTCTCTATGTTGCCATTGTCTTTCTCTCTAATAAGATAATTATTATTAAAATCAGTATATATAATCCCAAAAACAAATTTTAAATAATTTAATATACCCATTTCCATTTCAGTTTTCTTTTAGCTTGTCTGCGTTGTTCCTCTTCTTCATCGTATAATATAAGATTCGCGTCTTGATGTCCATATTGCCGATCTCGATCTCTATCACGATCCCGCTCTCTTTCTCTCTCACGTTCTCTCTCTTTATTTTTCCTTCCATGTGAACGTTCTCTTTCTTTTTCAGCATTAGCTCTACGATTTGCTCGTTCTTCTTCTTCTCTCTGACGCTCTCGTTCTCTTGCTGCAGCACGTTATCGAAGGAATGTTATTTCTCGGTAAATAAGATCCTTTTGATCTGGAGAGAGATCAGCCGGTAAATCTGTGCTATCATCCTTTTCTCTATGTTCTGTTTTTATTTCTATAACTGGTGATGTTCGAAGAGCTAATTTATTTTCATGCTGAGAATTTATTGGTGACAAATATCTTCTATCCTGTGGTTTAGTCATGTCTTCAACAACGATTATAACTGATAACAAGGCATTTTTGTCTAATTCTGAAAGATAATAATTAACATCAATTATAATATCTAAAAAAAAGAAAAAAATTATTCTATAATTTAATACAGACCGTTAAGCCTTCATATTGATCAAGATATTTTCTTGTATTCTCATCGGCTTTAACCTATAATATATGTGGATAAAATGTTGTTTAGATGAAGAATTAGGATCAGAAAGTAGATTGCTTATTATTAATTTTTGCCATTAGTACCTTCCTCCAACAACTCCCCTATCTTTTTTACCATCACCTGAACCTTCACCACCAAGTACACGCAAAGCACGCAGTACACTATCAGCATTAGCATATTCCGCAAATCCAAAACCCTTTGGATTTCTGGATTTCCGGATTGGTGTTTCCAAGAATTTAATGTACCACAAGTCTTTGCAATCGCCAGATAAGCAAATCAAAAAATAAATAAATAAATAAATTGTCAGCTAAGTATTTGGTAAAATCACGCCTGAAGATGTTCATGCGCCCAATAAGCGCATTAAAGCTTTCAAGACTAAGATAAATTCGAAAGCTATCTAGGAAAAAAAATTTTTAGCATCCAAGATAATATGCATTTTAGGCCGTAAGAAATATACAAGGTTTTTTCTTAATCGCACCTCCAAATATTTAAGAATCCAATTTGATAAAATAGCGTTCATTAAAATCTCAATCCCTTCGATTGGAAAATTATATAGCATTCATTTGCCCACCACTACCTTGAGAATTTTTTCCATCCAATCATCAATTACTCCCGGTGATACCCCTCCAATGAAAAGAGTTGTCAATTTTTCTACTGGTGATATACCACCCAAAGGTATACCATAATCTGGTCTAGAAGCCATATAAGCTGAACGTTGTGTGGGAGTACCAGAAGTATAGCCACCCCACGAGGTTTGACCATATGTAGGAGGACCACCTGGCGGAGTAAAAGGTGGTCGTTCGTAAGGAGCTCGATATTGAGCTATGAAATAACAGTAAGTAAAATATTTAAATAAGAAATCAGAACGGGAACTCTACCATAATGTCCTGGGCGGTAAGGATTCATTGAGTTATATATTTCATAATAGGTAATTAACATAAAACTTTTAAATCAATTATGTGATAAAATTTTTTTGTTATATAAGGATTTCTGTTGAGTAACGTAGTACAAGTTTTAATTAGTCCATATTATTTGATTAACTTCACTGTAAAATATTTTCGGGCACGTGACTGGCGTTAGAGTTGGATTAGTCCCAAAAAGACCGGTCTTTCAGCCTGGACCAGACTGGACCCCGATTTAAATTTAAGAAATTTCCATGCATTTGCAGAAGTCTCCCTGACTCCTCCGACGGTTTTAATCATGAGAGTGTTATCAATCAGCCCGAGCACTATAGAGCAGCTTGCTATAGTTCTTGTCTGTATCTTTGAGACTTTGACCACATACGTTGTTCCATTTTAAGTGGAGGGAAAGATATATCTTTATTACATGGTTCTGTTTATAAAATTTTATTTTTAACTGCAGGTTCAAGAGAGAAGAGAGTTCCCACCGTAAATTTCTGTGGGTAGTTGAGAAATGGGACCGGATTAGAGTCGTTTTCCTCATTTAGTTAAAAGTTTATTTGATCAATGATTATGTAAGTATGATGTAATTTTTGTGCTTTGCAACTAATATAATCTGCAAACTTTTAAAAAGAACAAATAAATAGATAAATGTCCATTTCTATTAAAATCTCTAATTTTATTGCGTCGATGATGCCATCTCACTAACACATGATACAATCTTAAAATTAACTGATTTCCTATAACTAATCCACCAGATATAAGTACAAGAGATGGAATAAGATCATATAACACTATTAAAATATAGTCCTTGAATAATTAATTGTCTTCGATAAAATTTTCTTAAAATATTTTTTATTTTTGAGACCAAATAAATTTGATGATAAAGTATTTAATGCTACTTATTTACTACGGAATAGTATACAGTGCGCGAAAAAAATAATTACAATAAAAATTATAAATCCGTTTGGCAAATAATTTCCGAAAACCTTCAATAATACATCAATTTTAACATAATATAACTTGTGTGAAAGCTTAAAACTAGAGCTTTCTAATGATATAAAAATTAAATAAATTAATAAGGGCCATTTCTTTCAATTACAAGCTGACATCGTCTCTTCATTGATTGGATAAGATTAACCAAAAAAACTATCTGGAATTTTATTCCATTCTTTAGCCATAAATTGTTTCATTTCATCAATATTTTGCGGCATACGTTTTTCCACATATGCTTAACAATACTCCGTAAATTTTCAATGGGTTAAGGTCCGGGCTGTTTGAAGGAACGTTCTCTTGAAGGAATTCTTTTCAAGTCGACTTGTATGCTTCGGATTGTTATCTTGTTGGAACCTCCACCTTCTACCAAGTATTCTTCTAACTTCTGGAATACGCTGTCATAAAATTTCAATATAAAATCTAGCATCCAAAATTTGTGTAAAACAAAACAAACTTGTTTTTTCCTTTAGCAGCTCATGCTAAAACTTTTTGCCGATTTTTTGGAAGAGGCCGAATTGGACTAGGACCCTTATGCCAATATTTAATTGTATTTCTAAACAATTGAAATGTTGTCTCATCAATGTTTTTTCCCATCGATCATTAAGGTGATTTTGAGCCCACTCAATACGCTTTCAGTTACTTTTTGTGCAGCTGTTAGCATAGGCATCCCAATTCCCAATTGGTAAACTGTTTCTATAACCAAGTTCCTTTACATGGGACACATTTAAACAATTTCTTGACAATTTGTAGCTAAAGTATGAATATATTGGTTAAGTGATTGTAATGAATAACCCGTTATTTTTTTAGGACGTCCATTCCCTTTTCTATGCAAAATACTGCCAGTTTCTTTCAATTTTTGATGTTATATTTAATTGTTGAAAAGATAATACCAGTTATTTATGAATTTATGTTTGGGAACGTATTCCTTCATTCCAAAAATGCAAAATAGTTGACGAGGTTTTTTAAGGACATTTGGAAGACATTTATTGGATAATTTTAATACGCCTAATACGCCAAGAAATTGCGAAACAATGGACATTAAATATAAAATTCCATTCGGCATGTGCCTGGACCCAATCGGGAAATGGAAAGATTTCTGAGGAACGAATCAAATTCGCGCTTGATGGGGTGATTAGAGATGACACAAATACAGCTAAACTAAAGCAGTTCACGGGAGATCTTTTAGCCGATAACCAAAGGTGGTCGTTACGAATATTGCCTTTTTAGGTGTTTAGGAGGAGTCCATGGTCTAAAAATTCTTGATGGGTGGATGAAGAGGGTTTACCGGGTGTGAGAGATGTTTCTGCTTAGCCATTCTTCAAGTCACGTGAATTATAAGAAGAAGATACGACAATGCTCAGGGGAAGAAAGTAATTCATTTACCTTTGGATAGGGCTTCATTTTCCGGGTTTGGTTTTTTTGTTTTTGTTTTTTTTAGACTAGTCTTCGTATGTGGCATTTCCGCCTTGTCGTAGATAGTAAACTTGTTTTACAAAAAATGTATGTAGCGTACCACGACTTTAAATTACAGCAGACATAGCTATTATAATTTATTTATTTTTGGAAGCTATACATAAAGGTGGTAGTTATAGTTATTACAGGAGCTGACTAAAGGATTAAGTGAGGGTCAGTAACTTTGATCGGTGAGGGAGAAGTATAGAATCGGCTGAGGTATGGCAGAAGATTCCATTTCTGATGTAGTGGAATGTCTTCTCTTATTTAAAAAAATCATTTACGTGATTTAATCACGTGTATATCCGAGTCAATTTTTTTCTGCCTTTGTTTACGTGTCTATTTACGATTAGTTATGCTTTAAATATCTGAAAATGGTACTACGACGCTAAAACTTTACACTCTTTAACATCTATCCTAATGTTCAAAAGGTATTTATAAGACTGGCACAAAGCTACCGCAAAAACCCATGGTTAAGTATCCCTACAAGGTCCATGTTGCTTTTTCGGTAAAAGGTCGAGTTTGATTTTTCTTTTTACTGGAATTATGAATGGTGCACTATATCTAGAAATTCTTAATGAAAATCTTTTTGATAATGCAAATTCCATCATGGTCGTCGCTGGGTATTCCAGCAGGACAACAATCCGAAATATACGGCTAAGGATACTAAGAAACTTCTTTCGGATCGTTGTCCAAGGCAGTTGGGTTGGCCGTCAAACAGTCCTGACCTCAATTCTATAGAGAATTTGTGGAACATATTGAAGAGGCGTGTAGAGGTTGCTAGTAAAAAAAAATCAATTACCATAGATATTTTCCATGATATAATTCGAAAATAGTGGGAAGGAATTGAACCGGAGATTTTTATTAATTTAATTAAAGCATGCCATTAAGAATAGAGCAAATAATTAAGGGTAATGGCAATAAGATAAATTAATTAAGCTTAGTCAAACTTTTTCGCAATGTAATAAAGCATATATGTTTAAATTTTCATGAATGTTCAATAAATATTCATAATATCCGCTGGTGTTTCGATAATATTTATTCTTATTGGACGAACATTTGATGCGTTATATTATAAAATACCTTTTATGAAAGACAAAGTATAAAATATGAGGAACCTACAAATGTTATCGAAATAAATTCAAATAAGAGTGTTGAAATATCCGAAGATCAATTAAGAAAGGATGATGATATGGAAATTACATAAAGATTTTTTCTTACACTATCGTTATGTTATTCTTTTTTATTTTTCTTTCTTTAAAAGCAAGGAAATAAAGGTTTAAAAAATAAAATTTTGTATCGGAAAAAGTTTTTTCGGCCATTTTTATATAAAAAACCTAAATATTTTTCGTATGATTGGGCGTTTTTTTTTTTGCGATACATTTACATTCTTGTTATAATATTAGCCAATTTTATATGGTACATATTGTTTTTTGCGTGCTCTTTGAGTTATGACCAAATCTTCCGAAATAAATTATCTGATACAATTTGAATTCATAATATTTAATTATTCTTTGTTCTTTAGAAATTATAAATTGATCATGTGATAATTTCTTTATCCTATGATTATCGTACACAAAAACAAACCTTTAAACAAGGACTCCTATAACCTAAAATTAGAAATCGATTTCTTTTTTTTAAAAAATAAAATACTATTTATTCTAAAACAAGCTAAAAAATTAAGCACAACAAAATAGATTGACAAAAATTTTATTTTGTTTTCATCTTCAAACAAAAGACGATAAAATTACTATTAAACAAGCTCAACCAATCACTCGCCTAAAAAAAAGCAAAGCTCGACTATTGTTAAATTTTGTCTTCATATTAAAGATGAAAGAAATATTTGAAAAGTTTTATTCCAATTATTTATAGATAAAAAATACATTGTTTGTATTTAATTTGGAAGAATTCTTTATTAAAATTAATTTCGGTTCGGTAAATAAATTGATCATTTAAGGAATATAGGCCCTATTTAATAATATTAAAAAAAATCAACATATAAATGGACTTCCCAATTGTTAAGAACTTCACTAATTCAGAAAACCAAAATTTTTTAAAAAATAATTTTTCAAAAAAAGAAATTAAAAATATTCAATCAAAACACTATAAAAATGAATTCGCGTCAAATCTTCTTTGCTCTCTTGATTGTGCTTATGGCTACTATCGTAACAGCCTCTCCTTTGAATTTAGATCAATTAACTAAGAGGTACAATATTGATACTTTTTAAAAATCAACGTAAGAAATATATTAATTTTATTGATTTAATCATTAAAGAGAAGATGAAAATGCATCTTTTGGTGATTCCGATATTTTCTAAGCTATTAATTTTGCATATTAGAATCTTTTTATTAGGCATTATTTATTCTCATTATTTCACTTATTTAACATCATTTCAAAGCATAGCATTAATAGTTAGACGTACCATTATAAAGGAATGTGTTAATATAGATTATTTAAAAACACAAAAAAAAAAAATCATTCCTCTTCAATTTCATTTTTTTTCTCTTCAATATCATTTTTTTTTTTCNGCTCAACCAATCACTCGCCTAAAAAAAAGCAAAGCTCGACTATTGTTAAATTTTGTCTTCATATTAAAGATGAAAGAAATATTTGAAAAGTTATATTCATCAATAAGTGATCTTTTATCTATAAGGAAGTTTGGTGTGCAGTTTCATGTAAATTTTAAATAATTGGATTAACCGTTTAATCATCTGTTATCTAACTACAGTTAAGAATTAAAAATAAATTAATTAAGAATAATTTTCTTTAAAAAAATATGTATTATATTTTTTTTACTCATTTGATAGTCAATTGGTGAGGATATAACAATAGCAGTATAAATTGTAATTAACATGACCCAAAGAAATTACATTGATGATTAAGAAGAATTGGCTGGAATTCACGTCTACACTTTTTTGTTAACAAAACACACATTTTTATAATTATGCAAAATCAAAATCTAACCCCATAAAATATTTCCATGATGGTTACGCACCTTACCTCTATGTATATATTTCGGGGTTTATAATAATTCATAGTTTTAAAGTATAAAAGTAAAATTTTTCGTAAATCAATGGACAGCGCTGCGGCAGCTGCTACGATTTATCACGTGCCTGTAGAATAAATTTTAAATGTTTCACAAAATAAAACGCTAATTATATAAGGATTGAGCACTTATTAAATTTGATTCTCATTCCCTTCATTAACTGTTAACCTGTTAACGTTAAATTTATAAAAATGGATGATAATAAACTTTTACCAAAATTATTACAAAATTTACTCGAAATTTTAGACGACGAAGAATATTATGATATAACTATTGAAGTTGGTAATGACCCTCATGTAAAAGTCTTTCATGCCCATATGGTCATTTTATATTATCGTTCTCCTTATTTGCAAAGAATTTTGTTAACTAATAAAAAGAAAAATGATGGAACTTTGACACATATTAAATTACCAAATTTTTCTCCTGAAATATTTCACATAATCTTAAGGTAATAATAACTGATAATTTATAAGTACTTGATATTTTATTATTTTATTATTAATGTATATTTTTATATTTTAGGTATATTTATGGAGGAAAACTTTCTTTGAAAGAATACGATACTCCAGATGTAATCAAAATCTTAGTTGATGCTAGTAAGCTTAGTCTCCAAGAATTAGTTACGTATATACAATACTACTTAATTGAAAACGAAACAAATTGGATGGAACAAAATTTTAATTTGATATATCAAACAAGTTTTGAGAATAATTCTTTCTTGGAACTTCAAAAATATTGTATTGATTTAATTTCTAAAGAACCAGTTAAGATATTTAATTCTTTAAATTTTTCTTCTGTTCCAGAAAAAATTTTATTTACGATTATTCAAAGTGATAACCTTCAAATGAGTGAAATTCAAATTTGGGAACATGTTCTTAAATGGAGTCTTGCTCAAAATCCTGAACTTCCATCTAACCTTACAGACTATTCAAATGATGATTTTAATAATTTAAAGAGTACCTTACAACAATATATTCCATATATTAATTTCTACAATTTAACTGCTAAGGAATTTTTAGATAAAGTATTCCCCTATGAAAAAATATTTCCAGAAGACTTATATAAAGACTTATTAAGAGTTTTTTTAAGTCTTTCAGATCCTAATAGCAAGCCAAATGACAAGTCAGAATCTGGTACAACTAAAGAAAGTAAAAGAACTATTGATTCAAAAATTATAACTCAACAACATGTTGAATTAATCTCAAAATGGATTGATAGATTAGAAGTTACAGACAAATTAGTTTCTTCATATGAATTCAAATTAATATTTCGCGCATCTCGAGACGGACATTTTCGATACAAATTTCATGAAATTTGTGATAATCAACCTCGCACTATAACACTTGTTAAAGTAAAGGATAGTAGTGAAATTCTTGGAGGATATAATCCGCTTGAATGGAAATCAGATAGTAAAGATTATAGCGCTACTAAAGATAGCTTTATATTTTCTTTTAATGATAATGATAGTTATATTTTAAGTCGTGTAATAGACGAAAAGGAAGCTATATATAATAGTAATTTTTATGGTCCAACATTTGGTGCAAATGATCTTAATATATGGTCGTGGCGTGGTAATCGTTGTAAAAAGTCTTCTTATGAATCTCCGATTAGAAAAACCGAAGAAAAGTTTACTGTAGAAGAATGTGAAGTATTTCAAATTGTTTGTGATTGATGTTTAAATTAAAATTTTCAGTATTAATTATAAGTATACTAATTACAACCTTAGTTTACTATATTAGTTCTTTTACGAAACTAGTATTTAAGGGGATAGAGAAAGAGAATAAAAAACTTTTTTTTTAAAAAAAACAAATTAATTTTTTCTGGATTATTTGATTAACAAGGCACAATAAATATAAAATATATGGTTTTATTTTATTGAGGGCGGCAAATAAGGTTTTCATTTTATTTTGTCGATAAAGTTATTAAAAGATCTCGCACGTAGTGCAATTGAGCATCATAGCAAAGTTATATATGTTGCACGTTTATCACGTGCCTTAAAATAAATTTTAGATATTACACATGCACTTATCAAATTTGGTTTTAATTTCTTTCATTAACTGTTAACGTTAAATTATAAAAATGGGCGGATGATAATAATTATCCTAAATTTACTTGATATTACTATTGAAGGGGACGCATTTATTTCGCCGAAAATCGTCTTATAGACAATCAATTCTTTTTACAGAAATTCCTGTCAAAATGGTCTATGAACTTTTAATCGTATTGCAATTTTTACAGTATGATACCGATAATGAAATTACATAAAATTTTAACGTACGTACGAAACTACATAATTCAAACTTGATATTGTACTAGATCGTACATTTGAGTTAAGCCATTTAATGCTTCGCACTTGGCTCGAGAGGTTATTTAGTTTCTTTGAGAATATTATTGTGACATCAGTAAAAGAATGATTTGATATAAAAGATAAAAGAAATTTTTATTTATTTATTGAATAATTTCACATAAAATTATAAGTAATATTGATACTTTTTTATTTAAATCACTGATCATAAAAAATGTTCATATAATAAATAATAGACTGTTAATTGGTATTTAGGATTTTTTCCGCCAGTTATAAACTGGCGGACCAATTAGTATATCTAGGATGATAAAAAAGTTATTTACTGATCTAGTTTAGTATATAAATGGGCCATCATCCTTCGGATGATAACCCATTTATATACTACTAGATTAGTAAATAACTAATACTTATCAGTTATCCTCATATATTCATGCAGATTTTACGTAATTGTTATTTAGGTCGGTTATCTCATATTACTTACTATGTGTTAGCATAATAAAATTATTGGATAGCGTGGGCGAGCAATTTTTGAAAGTACTGTCATACGGACCATATCGACATCGTATCATCACGCGTGACTTATCAGTATTCCGCGTTCTATTCATGCAAAAATAATGATCGACTATTTATATTTTTCTGATAATAGTATATGAGAGGAATAGCATAAATACTTTTTTTATTTTTCAGATACAATACATGTTCCTAATTCGCATCACATGCATATACAAACTTAAAAAATGAAAAAAAATTTCTAATTTACAAATATATTAAATATGTTCTTATCTTTTTGTTGCTCCAGCATTTGAGCTTCCTTCAATATATATATAAATATACAGTAACCACGCAATATGGCCAAGAATCTTTGTTAACATGTCTTCCATATTTTTATCCCATATATAATGATCACCGGTTTTGATAAACTTTGGTTTTCATTATCATCTAGCGAACATTCTAAAAGAATCATTTTTCACCAAGATCATCAATCATGTGGACAATATTATTCCAAATGTGCAAAGTTTGTACTTATAATCAATGCTTTTGCACTCCATCCTTGTGGTACAGCCCATCCATGCTGATTAGCGACTCTTATATATGCGTCAATAGCTTCCTATAATTTCATCGGTTACAATACTTGCTAAAACTGATTCACACTGCACTGCATTTCGAGCAATCCCCTGTTTAAAATCCTTGTCTTTTACCGATCAATCTAGCGATACGAGGCAAAACCACACTATAATCAACTGGATTATTACCGTTCCCATTATGGACGAATTTCAAACTTATCCGGATAAAGATTGGCAGCATCCACAAGGTATGCACAGGCATATTGACTTTTAGATGCTGATCAGAATAACTTTAGTACGGAATATTAGGTCTGTTATAAGGTGTTTTACTATCACTTGTGACTTTTCATCGTTCAGCTTTACATATTCACAAGTGAAGGAGGAAATGAAGATAATGATGGATTGTCAATTTCTCCTATTCCATAGAGTTTGCACATCTTTGTAAAAGTCTAAAGAGAGAATGATAAGATTGCCTCTATAAATACTGTGAACTGTGAACTTGAAGCTATTTTTTGATATAAGTAACTGGAGCATATTACGAAAGTCCAAATTACTTTGAGAAAAGTAATTCCCGTCATCACATATAAAGTTCAATGCTGCTTCATCATTTTCGAGTTCTGGGTTTTATACACAGCTTGAATTTTGTTTTCAATTAACCGCAACGTAGTCAAATAAAGTTTCTTTAAGACCATAAAGAGACACCTGCTCCATATTTGCAACCCATTTAAATGACTTTGGCAAATTCTGAATTATGTTTAGGAGATTAGCATAAGTCTGATAAAAATTCCACGAAATCATAACCAACAACATATTATAGAATTATCAATTTTTTTTTCAATTCCGCTATCTGGTCCAAAAGTTCCCGCTCTCGGGTGATTAGTCCAGTAGCTTCTGGTAAAGACACAATTAGATGAATATGTTCATTATCAGGCTCTTAGGGGAAGCATCTACTTATCTTCTTAGTTGCAAAGTGCTCATCTTGATCATGAAGTAAAAGGTTGTTCAAATCGTCATTATGATCGTTGAAGTATTTTAACTGAGCTCTTTTGCAACAGATACATCTATTTTCTCCTTAGCAACATCTTTCAACTCACCAATGATTTTTTCTTTATTAATCTTTACTGGAAAGGCATGTACAGATGCATCTTCTTTTATTAAACAGAAAAAGACAATAGATGATTGTTGTTTTTTGCTAGTGGTTGAATATTTTCCTTTTCTTCATACTTCTTCCTTTTTAGCTCCTAGTAGTATACATGTACAATCAATATTTACTTTTCCACGAGTAAGATTAAGGAACTAATCCTTCTCTAAAATCTTAGACCTTCATTACAGGATGATACTTCTCTAACAAGCAGTATAGAGTATAGTATACATGTCCGAACGCAACTTATCCCATACTAGCAGTATAGAAGGCAGCACACTCATTATTTATAAATATTGGCCTTCTGTATTGCGTTAGCGTTCTCGATTTCTTTTGTTCCTGGGTACAGATTCTTAATTATAAGTTGTAACTCTTTACTCAAAACATCTTGAGACGTTAGCTTAGATACATCTTGGCTTTTCGTAAAAGAAACTGTCCCATACTTGTACGTTCCCTCAAAAGGCGCAAGGCTTCTCCCGATATTCTAATATAATACAGCATTACATTATCATTAATATAGTAAAGACAAACAAGTACTTACCGCGATAGTGAACTTTTGATAAAATTTCTCAAAATATAATACCTTTATAGCCAACCCAACACTGACTTTTTGTTGAAGTTTGCAGGATAAACACGACTCAGACAATTATATATCAGTCTGAGAATGGAATGTAAGTTTGATGCAATACGACTTTATTTGTCTAACTTTTATATAATGATACTTTTAAAAATTAAATAAAAATTGTTAATTACGCGATTGAAAATTCGATGGTAAGAAAATTAAGCTATCTATTTAGTAAATAATCACTCTATAATAATAAATCTGAGTAGAAAAATTAAGCTATTTGTTTAGTAAATGATCATTTCGAAATAAGCTATATACGCGCCTGAAATCTGATTAATTAGGCCAAATGACCACTCCGAAAATAACTAAAAATCTCTCTATTAAATTAATTAGTAAATGATAAATCCGAACCTAAGGTCCAAGAAGCGCCGTAACCAAAAGTTACAGACAGTCACATTGCACTACAAAACAAAATGTTCAATCAAAAACATCCTCCTATGCCTTATTCAATATTACGAATATTAAGTTTCGTTTATACATATATTTTTATTGATAGATACTGTATTATTACTCGATAAGCTTTATTAAACGTATATACGGTATATTATGTAAAAGGATGCAAAGTAATTCAAATTGTGTAGTATTTCTGAACAAATAATTGGATATCTAAAATCAAATCTTTAATAATCTAGTATGGAAATGATGGAAGCGATAAAGTTTTAATCGTTTAGTTCATAATGTATTACCTCAATTTCTATTCAACACACAAGGTCATTCCAAATTAAATATCACGACGAAGAGTAATTACTAGGACACCAAGCAATTTTAATTCCGCGGAGCAAGTAGTCATAACGAAATTTACATAATTTAAAAAAATTCTATAATCCAAAAATTAACACTTAAATATCTCGTTCCTTCTCTAAATATGTAATAACTATCATAATTTGATAATTTACAATTTCAAATTGCCTAATTTTTATATCTAATTCATACCCTGTATTGCGTATAGATAAACCAAAAAGAATAAAAGAACTATTTCTTTTTAATATTAAAATAAATAATACACTTAACAACTGTACATAAATATTATACATCCCTTTACTACATTAAACAATTTTTTTTTTTTTTCGCATAATCACTAGTTTGAGTTTTTGTACATCCCAATTTAAAAGCGTGTGGGCGGTGTGGCTGGTTCTATATGAATTGCATCTTGTATAATAAATAAACAACTTAAAGGAAATTAAGAATTGTGCAAATTTATTTATTTTAGTATTTTTGTTAAAACTAGGTGAAAAGAAATTAAAAATTAATTGATAATTTTATTTTCTATTTATTTTTTTTTTCCGAAGAAAAAAAAATTTTTCGTGCAACCATACTTATGATTGGCAAATGACGGGTTATAATATAAAGGGATAAACCTTAATTCATTAATTCATAGTCACGAAATGCATTACGTTACGCGCATCAAAACAAATGAAAAATTTAACGTTGTACAACCCGCAAATAACTATTTATAAGGTTGTATTTTTTTTTTTTTTCATTCATTTTCTTTCGTCTCAAATTTCTCAAATTATAAAAAATGGAACTTTTACCAAAATTATCACAAAATTTACTTGAAATTTTAAATGATGAAGAATTTTATGATATAACCATTGAAGTTGGTAATGATCCATATGTAAGAATATTTCGTGCTCATATGGTTATTTTATATTATCGTTCTCCTTATTTGCGAAGAATTATAACGTTAACGACTAACAAAAGGAAAAACGATGGAATTTTATCACATATTAAATTACCAAATATTTCACCGGAAATTTTTGAAATTATTTTAAGGTAAGAAATAATTAAAAATTAAAAATTTTAAAAATTTTATTAATATTTTTATTTTTTTTTTTCTTAATAATTAATTATATAATTATATAATTTTTATTGTTTTAGGTATATTTATAGTGGGGAAATATTTATATCTTTGAATGAGTGTGATACTTCTATTATAATTAAAACTTTGGTTTCTGCCGGTGAACTTTATCTTCAGGAATTAATCAAATATTTACAATCATTTTTGATAAAAAACAAATCTGAATGGATGGAACAAAATTTTGATATCGTTTATAATGCAAGCTTTGAAAATGATTCGTTCTTGGATCTTCAAAATTATTGTACTGATTTAATATCTAAACAACCAGATAAAATTTTTAATTCATTAAATTTTTCCTTAATTCCAGAAAAGCTTTTGATTTCAGTTATTCAAAATAATGATCTTCAAACGACTGAAATTCAAGTTTGGGATCATGTACTTAAATGGGGACTTGCTCAACATCCAGATCTTCCTTCTGATCCTACAAACTATTCAAAAGATGATTTTAATACTTTGAAAAATACCTTAAAACAATGTATACCTTTTATTAGATTTCATAATTTAACTTCTAAGGAATTTTTAGATAAAGTATTTCCTTATAGAAAAATTTTACCAAAAGAATTATATATAGATTTATTAAAAGAATTTTTGGGTAATGATAATAAGAAAAGTGGTAAATCAAAACCTCGTATGAATAAAGAAATTAGTTTAATAACTATTGATTCAAAAATCATTTCATTTCAACAAGCTGAATTAATATTAAAATGGGTAGATAGATCAAAAATTGGGAATAAGTTAACTTCTCCATGTGAATTTAAATTATTATTTCGCGGTTCTCGTGATGGTCTTACACGCGAAAAATTCCATCAATATTGTGATGATCATTCTCGTACTGTAACAATTGTTAAAGTGAAAGATAATAATGAAATTCTTGGAGGATATAATCCAGTTGAATGGAGATCTTATGGTGGTGATAGTATTACTAAGGATAGTTTTATATTTTCTTTTAATAATAATAATAATGATAATAATAGTAACGAAACTGAAAATTATATTTTAAGTCGTATAACGAATGAAAATCATGCAATACTTAATGGTTCTTTTAATGGTCCTTCATTTGGTAATACTGACTTAATTATATTAGGATTTTTAGGTAATTATTGTAGACAAAAATCTTATAAAAAACCGATTAGAAAATTTGTACATTTTGATATAGAAGAATGTGAAGTATTTCAAATTATAAAGGAAATATAATAAGAGGGGGTTTTTTTTTTCAAAGTCAAAGTTTTGGTAAATTTAGAATAAATTAATTTTTTTTTAACAATGATAATTCAAAATTTTATACCAAGTATTACGAATTTCTGTAAATTCTTTCGTGATTCGCTGATCATGGGATTCTATGATTCTATGTAATAACAAATCTAATGTTGCTCACTCACTATCAAAAATTTTGAAATAAAAATATAAAAGTTATCAATTAAGGTACGTTGTTACCCAATGGCTAATTTTCTCCTATTCCAAACTAATAACTATTTTAACGTCCTTTCTGGCTCAAAAAATTTGAAAATTTTCGGTAAAATCGGAAATATTCGGTACCGCTCAATTTTTAGAAGGTGCACATATATAAAATTTTCAAAAATAGAGGGGAGGACTGACGTTAAACTAAAAGTTAATTTGGAGCGGCTTATACTGTTCGAATGCCAAATTTTACCCTCAATTTAAAAGTGTAAATTATTTAAAGCAAGGTTTTTTGAAAATTAATAATTTTATAGGACAATTACATTATGATGTTAAGTTCTGTTCAATTGTTAAAATCCTATTTTTTTTTCTTTTTTAATGATACAAAGTGTGTACGTTGTGAAGACGATTACAGGACTACATTGTCCGATTTTTGTCCGGTAATCGTCCCGGGGTAGGCCGGGTAGCACAATTTTGAAAAGCGCAAAAAGCGCAATAATTTTGCGCCGTATATGCTAGCGTGCCAGCATTTGCTATCGATCGTTTACAATTCTGAAAACTGCGATAGATAAATTTTTTTTTTTTTTTTCCTTTCTTTATTATTGCAAAAAATTACAAACGTAATGCGATAAATAAAATAATGTCGTACAAAATACAATTGTTCACATACAGTATATAAGGCTAGTCATTTACAAATTTGAGTTGTACTCTTTTCTTATTTCTTTCGTTACCGTTGAATTATACTACTAAAAAATGAATGATAATAAACATTTATCAAATTTATCACAAAAACTTACTTGAAATTTTAAATGATGAAGAATTTTATGATATAACCAATGAAGTTGGTAATGACCCTTATATAAAAGTCTTTCGTGAAATTCTCTCAATAAATTTTCAGTTTTTGATCCGAAATTTATCCATTTTACACAATAAATTATTCTATGAATTTTATCAGTTTTTTTATTAGTTTATTATCAGTTTTATACAATAAATTATTCTATGAATTAATCAGTTTTTTATTAGTTTATTATCAGTGTTATTATTAATTAAATCTATTCAATAAAATTTTCAGTTTTTTTACAGCAGATAATTTCAGTATAAATTCCGAGACCTTTACTGAATTGTCTATTTAAAAATTTTTATAGGGTAAGACTATCTGTCTTTATATTGAAAAAATAAATAAAAAATAGTGTTAAACTTTTTAAATTTTGTTATTGAAACTAAAATATGTATCAAGCAAATATATCCAAATATCGGTATATAATTCCGCTGTAAATTAACGAAAAAATTGTTTCGTGCGATTTTGACTAGATTAGCGTCACTATGATCGGCTTGTGCATGAGATAGTTCTAATACCTATCACACTCCTATGACGCAAATGTTGCAATATTTTCTTATAAAAAGCAGGTTAATAAAAAGAAAAAACAGGCAATAGCAATGGCAGAAGAGAATGAATTTTATAGTAAACTGTGTGTTGCCGAAATCTTCAGAGGTGCCATTGACGAAAAAAGTGAAGAAGAAATCGATCTGTTGGAAGAATGCTATTTTTGTTAAATATAAATAAAAAATAAACTATTTCTTTTTTTGTTTATCACGTATCGCGTTTCAGGTCATTTTTGTCATACATAATCATGTTGACCGGGTCAAGAAAGTAATACGATGAGCCGATGAGGGTCAAGAAAGTAATTTTTGCGAGATAATTAATGTATATTAATCTTAAATTGCTGTAATGGACAATGACACAACCATTGCAAATCCAATCATGATCTCTTTTTTTCACTAAAAAAATTTGCTCCCAATTCTTAAAAGCTAATAATTAAACAAACCGGTATTTTAAATTGGATGGTACTAATTAAGATTTTTTATTCAGTCGATCGTTTACAAAATGATGCTTCACAAAATTCCCTACGTTTTAAATCTGATTTTATCACGTGAAAGAAAGGATTCGTAAGACCCGTGAAATTGTCATGTGATTCTGGTAACAAAAAGATTAACCTAAAACTATTTATATTCTAACCCCTATTACATACCACAATGGACACTTATTGCGGATTTGTATAAATCATTAAACGCTTAATGCTAATAATTAATACCATTAAAAGAAAGCACTGTTCTAACAAATAAACATTGTTTTTTTCGTAATTTTGTATATTATTACTTAACCTTTTTTGAAATAAAAATGCATTAAGCATTTTAATTTCCGTTATCACTATAACATTTTTAGGTTATTTTGTAACAATTACTAGTTCTTGATAATATGTACTCAAACGTTTAACCCCTAATTTATGCAATAACCTAAAAAGTTGAATAATACGATGCTTGAAACGTGTAACATTTCCGTTATAAATATCTATTATGATAATTATGAAAAACAAAAAAAATCGAGAAATAGAAACATTTAATATATGTGATTGTATTTTTATTGAATAAATCCAAAAAAAGATATCAAATATTTAACGGGTCACATTATGACGTTATATACTCTAAATTGGATTCAAACTCGAGAACTATCTATTATTCATCGATATTGATTTTAAAATGAATATGGTCTATTATAAAATTTATTTTTTAAAAGAGTTCTAAAATTAGTTCCTTTATTCAGTTATTACAGTATTACAAAACCTCGCTTTGATCTAATTCTCATTATTTAGGCGTTTCGTAGTCGTTTGAAACGTGTGTGTTTTATGATTGGTTTTATAATAATATATTGTTACTTATGGTTTATCCGTATAATGATTGTTAAATAAAAGACATTTTAATTTTTTTTGATCACTGAGTTAATCGAAATTGAAAATAGTGTGACTCCGATAGATGAAGTATGTATGTGAATGCCAAAACGATAGATTCTTGGTTTATTTCATTTTCAGATAATAAATATATTTAGGTCCAATGAACGATCAATACAACAAAAGAATATGGATGATAAAAGTGACACTAATAAATTAATAGATCAATCGTTTAGAATATCATATACTGTAAATGGAATAACTTTTTTAAAAAAAGCTAGTATCATTACATTTATTATGTACAATATGATCATGCTGAATCAACTTTAGCTAAAAAAAATTATTTGATTATTTTATTATATTGTGATTTTGTAAAATCTACATAGCAAATTTCATTTTATGGTTATTAATTTTTCTTTAGTTCGATTTTCTAAAGCATAAATATGTTATTTGATATGAGCTCAAAGATACTAGTATAACTTCAGTACATTGATATATCTGTAACCATACTCGATAATTTTGTCAAAGATATTTTGTCGATCACATGTTTTTAAGTTTAGCGTAGTTTTAAAATTTTTTTTTTTTTTTTTT